AGTTTTTCAGTTATATTGTCCATTTGCTCAGATCATTTTGTTAAAAGACTATCTTTGCTTGGTCCATTGGTAGTTGCTGTTTACTTCCTTTGTCCAAGATCAGGTTGACTATAGTTAAGGTGGGTTTTTCTTCTGGCTTTCTATCCTTTTCCATTTTAGTTTATTTATTTTAGTCAGATACACACTGGTCGTTGACTTATGTCAGCTTGTCATAGTAATTGTTGAAGGTCAGATCAGTGTCTGAGTCTTCAACTTTGCTGCTCCTGTCAATGTTGTGGGCTATTTGGCTTTTGCTGGCTTCTACATAAACTTGAGAATTAGGTTAATATCCACAAAATAAGTTTTTAGGATTTTAATTGAGATTTGTATCGAATCTTAGATTGAATGGAAAGAGCTGATATGTTTAGTAATCATTTTAGTTTTGTTATTAGTAGCTAATTATTTAGTTTTGTAAGTATCCACAAGAATAACCTGTTAGGATTTTAATTGGATTGTATTGAATTGTAGATTAAATGGGAAAGAACTGATATTTTAGTAATACGAGTCTTCGTACCCATGAACAGATGGGAATATCTTTGTGATTAGTTTAGCTCTTTGTTTAATTTCTTTCATCAGAATTTTGGTAGTCTCCCAGTAATATCTTGTACATATTCTGTTAGATTTATTGTAAATAATTCATTTTTTGGGTGCTAAGGTATAGTGGGGAAAAGTAATGACTCTGGGAATGGTACAATGGTAGCAGGATTATGTCGATAGTTTATCAAGGGATCTCTATTTCATATTATTTTTAAATTTTTTATTGGTATTTATTTCTTTTTATTTTAAATTTAATTAATTTAAATTAAATTTAATATAAATTAAAATCTTCAATGTTATATTAAATTTAACAATAAATGTAGATTTATTTTCTATTTTTGTTATTATTTTTTGAGAGAGTCTTGCTAGGTGCCAGGTTAGGCAGTGCAGTGGCTCGCTCGCTCATGGCTCACTGCAGGCCTCGAAACTTCTGTGATCAAGTGGGATCTTTCCCCTCAGCCTCTTGTGCTGGACTACAATGTGCCCAGCCATGCCTTGGCCCTTTATTGTATATTTCTTAATCATGATCTCAAAATATTTAAAAAATAATAGTCCTCCATATGTGGTAACATTCATAGGAGAGTATTTGTCCTTGGTAGAGTGCACTGGTGGTTCAGCACCCCACATTCTTTTCATGCCTAGATGCATTGGAATCTAAGTCCAGATGCAATGAAAATCATCCCTTACCAGTGATTGGTTCAGAAGATGGGGCATGTGACATTAATTCCTACTTGATGAGTTATAAAGGGCTATCTGGCTGGGAATACATCAGGGGTTCCTCTAATAAGAGAAAACTTGGAGAAAAGACGTTTTTTTTCTTCTTGAGGTTGGCTATTTCTTGTCTGAATATGAATTCTAGAATTGATGTGATCCTCGTTATGGAACTCAAGATGTGAATGGTGGAAAATGGAGTCATGATAAACTGTCATTGGGCTGCTGAGTCAATCTAACGGTTGAAGACTGTTTGGCACATTCCTAACCTTTCTATAATATGGGCAGGGTAGGTTACTTTTATCTCTAAATAACAACAATCCCTGAGCTTAAACTAAACAAAGCTTAATTCTGTGCTCATTTGACATGCACCAATGGTCGCACGACCTGTCTCAATTCTTCTTTACTGAGGGATGCAAGTGATGGCTCCTCTTATTTGAAATGTCCCTGTGAGTTTGTGGCAAACAAATGCGAACATGATAAATTGTACATCAGTTTGTAAGGCTCTACGGAAGTGATGACTTACTTTTGTTGCTTACATTTCATCACCAAAGTCAATTAATACCCTAGCTATCGTCTAACCTAGAAAGGGGTGGGAGAGCAATATTAATGACCAATTGTGATGTGGAAGGAGAAGAAGCGTCAGTGTAGGATCAAAGAAGGACCACAAATAAGATTAAAGAGCTAAAAGGAAAAATAGTTAGAGCGGCGTGATCTCAGCTCACTGCAACCTCCACCTCCCAGGTTCAAGCGATTCTCCTGCCTCAGCCTCCTGAGTAGCTGGAATTACAGGCACCCGCCATCATGCCCACCTTATTTTTGTATTTCTGTAGAGATGAGGTTTCTCCACGTTGGCCATCTGCCTGTTTTGGCACTCCAAAAGCGCTGGGATTACAGGCGCGGTGGCTCACACCTGTTATCCCAGCACTTTGGGAGGCCGAGGAAGGCAGATCACCTGAGGTTGAGAGTTTCAGGCCAGCCTGAACTCTCAACCTTTTTTGACATGCAGTTTCACTCTTGTTGCCCAGGCTGGAGTGCAGTGGTGCGATCTCAGCTCACTGCAACCTCCACCTCCCAGGTTCAAGTGATTCTCCTGCCTCAGGCCTCCCAAGTAGCTGGATTACAAGCACCCACCACCATGCCCAGCTAATTTTTTATATTTTTAGTAGAGACAGGGTTTCATCATGTTGGCTAGTTTGGTCTTGAACTCCTGACCTCAGGTGGTCCACCCACCTCGGCCTCCCAAAGTGCAGGGATTAGAGGCGTGAACCACTGCACCTGGCCAAATATGATCATTTTCTAAGAAGAAAATGACATGGGAAAGGTTAGAAAGTTTGCCTTAGAAGAATGGTGAGACAGTCCTATTAAGAGCTGGGAGAAGAGAATTCAAGCTTCAGAAAGAACAGATGCGATGATCCTAAGGCAGAGGAGGACTTGATGGACCGGGGTGGCTGGTCTGCAGCACAGTGCTGAGGGGAGAGAGGGGGAATGCCAGGGCCCACACACGTGGAATTTAACCAAGAGCAGTAGCAGGCCACTGAAGATTTAAGCAAGAATGCAACCTAATCTGATTTATATTCTATAATCTAATCTGTGCCTGCTTCGTAGCAAATAGAATACAGAGGTGCAGGAAGGGAAAGAGAAAGGTCATACAGAAAGTTACTGTTGGAGGCCAGGTAAGAGATGAGGAGTAGGTCATTCTGATAAGCATTTCAGAGCAGGATCAATAGACTGGCTATGGGTGTGAAAGAAAAGGAGGCTCAAGGAGGCTCTGTACTTTTTGGTTTGAGCAGTTGAGTAAATGATAGTGCTATTTACTGGACAAGACTGAGGGAAACGACAGTTTTAGACAGACGGTATGAATCCAAAGCCTCAAGATAAATGATCCATATTTTTCTTTTTTTTTTGAGAGTCTTCCTGTCACCTAGACTGGAGTATAGTAGCACAATCTCTGCTCACTGCAACTTCCGCCTCCTGGGGTTCAAGCAGTTCTCTGCCTCAGTCTCCCAAGTAGCTGGGACTACAGATGTGAGCCACCACGCCTGGCTAATTTTAGTATTTTTAGCAGAGATGGGGTTTCGCCATATTGGCCAAGGTGGTCTCCAACTCCTGACCTCAAAAAAAAAAAAAAGTCCTTTCCATTCTACTTTTCTACTTATAAACAAATCTAAATTCGTGGCCATAAGTACTCTATTCTAGGGAAAATATTTTAACTTAAAAGCTTTTGCTCCCATCCCCTCCATTTCTTAACTGCGAATGTTGAGGTCATTAGTAGCCCAAGAATTCTATTGCTTTCTGTTTTTTTTTTTTTTTGAGATGGAGTCTCACTCTGTCACCCAGGCTGAAGTGCAGTGGCAAAATCTCAGCTCACTGCAACCTCCACCTCCCGAATTCAAGCAATCCTCCGACTTCAGTCGCCTAAGTAGCTAGGATTACAGGCGTGTGCCACCATGACAGCTATTTTTTATTTTTAATAGAGACAGGGTTTCTCCATGTTAGCCAGGTTGGTCTCAAACTCCTGATCTCAAGTGATCCACCCACCTCAGCCTCCCAAAGTGCTGGGATTACAGACGTGAGCCACTGTGCTGGGCCTGAGTTCTAGTAAAACCAATTCAGGACTGACCCCTAGGGCCCAGTGGGAATCCCTTCTTGCTCTGGCAGCTCTCCTCTCCCATTATCTAGACTCTACAGTTCACCTCTCTCCTTAGCTATAGTTTTTGCCAATCTTGGGGCTCCAAAGTCCCTCTTTCTTTCCCCTCTCCTGGTGCTACTTCCCTGTGCAAAGCAGTGCTTCCAGAGATCATAAGCCCCATGAGGGCAGGAACAGCGCTTGTGTTATCCACTGCTGCATTCCCAGCACCCCTGAATTGTGCTGAGCACAGAGTTGGCACTCAAATATTCATTCAGTGAGAAAACTTCCTGAAGCCACTAGGATGGTAACCAGTCACCTTTCCAGGTGCTTAAGTACTTGAACCTACTAGAAAGAATTTGTGGCCTAACTTCATTGAGATAAGTATTATTATGCCCATTTCACAAATGGACAGCTGAGTTAGTTCAAATAATCTAAGATCATAACTACTCTACTAAAATGGTCTGACCCTTGGTTAGAAATATTTTTTAAAGCCAAGAAGTAGGAGCTATTGAAAAATCCACCATACAAAAAGAACATTACCCATGTTATTTAACATTTATTGAAGATATGATGGATTTAACTAATGCAGAACAGCCTTCCTGGATAAATCTAACAATAAATATTTTGGTTTCCCGAAAACAAAACAAAAAACAAGCAAAATAACTGATCTTGGCTTGAATTATAGGAAATTCTTTGCTGGCAGCTCGGCCCAAGCTGATTGCATATGTGCTTTTAGGATAGGACTAGAGATTGCATGTGTTCTGCACAGCAACCAGGGACACTTAACATTCATGAAGTAATAATGAAACGGGAGGCCTGGATTTTTGTTTGTTTGTTTCTCCTAGGTCTCTTCCTCACTTAAGTGACTTTGGACAAATCCATTTCTTTCCTCATATCTGATTTCCACGTATCTATTTCGGGATAATGTTTATGACTAAGATGCTTTGTGAAATCTTCAGATTACAAATCGTTACTGCCCTTCATTTATGAAATTTTCCTCCTTCACTACCCTAGGGGATATTTGCATGACCCTTCTATTGAAAACCTTCACACATAGTTGTGAAGCGTCAATACCATCTAGGGACGGTTCAGAGGTTCCAAAGCCAATCAACTGACAAGTCATGAGGATAACTTGGGCCATGAAAAGTCCGTTTCCTACGCTACTGAGAATTGGAAAACAGGTAGATGTACTAATTCCCAAACCATGTTTGGCTTCTTTCTGCTGTTTTCAGCCTCTTCTAAACTATGCAGAAGCTGCGGACATTTGACGATCAATATTCGGCAATTCCTTTCCAAGGCAATCCTACCGAAAACAGATCACACGGCCCCACAGGCGGGCAGGACAAGCCACCGGGCCCTGGTGCAGGAGCTGCTCGCTCCACACATTGTTTAGAGGCCGACGCGACACAGCCATCTTGCGTCGGGGGCCCGGGCCCAGGAGGAGAGCGAGCCCCGTCCCCTGATCCTGGAGGCCGACACCGGCGAGAAGCTGCCCTGCACGCAAGCGGCCGGCCCAGGAATCTGAGCGGATCAAGTTGTCTGCGGCGGACTCGGGCCGGCCCCGCAGGACCCGGCCCCACTTGGCCCAGCGCGCAGGCGGGAAGGAGGCCGTCGGTCCGCCCCTCCCGCTGCCGCAGCGACCCCGTCCGACAGCGGGCACAGGACGCTGGATTCCTATTTGCCAGCTTCCTGCTGGGGAGCGTTTTCCAATGGGGCGCGGCGACCCGGCCGACCGCGTCCTCCTCCCCCACTGCCGCCCGGGTCTCCTCGGAGGCGCGCGCCAGGGCCTGCGCGGGGGTGGCCCCTCCTTCCCCTCCCCGCCGCGACCCGAGACGCCCGCAGGCCGGGCGTTCACCCGCCGCGCCTCCGCCCGCCTTCCCCTCCCCCTACTTCCCTCCGGGCGCCCCAAACCCGGGCCTCGGGGGTTCGACGCCGTGCGCACACGGAGCGGGATGGGAGTGCAGGGCCGGGGGCGGGGGCTGGCCGGGGGCGGGCGGCAGTCTCGGCGGGAGCCGGCGGCCCCTCAGCGTGTCTTTTGTGTTTGTACACACACCGCGCGAGGCGGCCTGGAGGAGGGAGCGGGCGGCGCGCGGGGGAGGGGCGAGCGCGCGCCAGCGAACGGGCGCGCGGGGGGAGGGGAGGGGGCGGGGCGCGAGAGTTGCTGTGGGGGCGGGGCCGAGCCTTCCCTCCATTGTGTGTGATTGGCTGGCGCGCGGCGCGGGGGCGGGGCGGCTTGTGTTGGGGGATAGCCTCGGTGTCAGCCATCTTTCAATTGTGTTCGCAGCCGCCGCCGCGCCGCCGTCGCTCTCTAACGCCAGCGCCGCCTCTCGCTCGCCGAGCTACAGCCGAAGGAGAAGGGGGGTAAGTTTCCCCGTCTGCCCGCTTCCCCGGAACCGAGCCCCGCTTGTCGTCAGCCGCGAGCCGGGCCCTGGCCGTGCCGGGAGGGGACCCGTAGCCCCTCCGGCTTAGCCCACAAACTTTTTGGCCCAGAAATGGAGGTAAGGAGCGAGTTTCCCTTTTCCCTCTGACGGCGGCGGCTCCCCAGTCTCTCGCCGCCTCAGCCCAACAGCAGCAACCGCCGCGGCGCCGAGCCTGCTCTCCCTCCTCCTCCCCGCGCCCCTGGCTCTTCTTTCTTCGGTGAAATCCCGCCCGCCGCCCCTTCCCAGGACCCCAAACCTTCACCACGACCCGCGCGGGCCTCTTAACTACCGCCCCCGGGCCCCAGCCCCCAGTTTTCGAGCGGGAAAGGGGTGGAAATCGCCGCCGCTTCGCACCCTGGGGTAACTCGCTTTTTGCTGCCTCCCCACAGTTGTTGCTAAGCTTCACCATCTTGTCTCTCTTCTCTGGTCACCGACCATATTTTTTCCCCCGTTTCTCTCTTCCCCATTTCAAAAAAGCAAGAATTTTTAAAAGAGGGACATTTTTTTCCCTTTTTTGGAGAAGCGGAAACTTGATGCATTTGAAATGCAAAAAAACTTTTGCATTTTGGAGGGCGGCACGTGGCAGGGGATGGGGTATTTTCGAGCGATTTGGTGTTTTGTCTCTTTGGAACGGAATCCGATACGTTTTGCGATTGTTTCCATTTTGTTCTGGTCTGGGAGGCGAGTTGGTTCCTGCTTGAGGCGCTGGGAGCGAGGTGGGCAGGTTAGGGGACCCTGTGCAGAGGGACCCGGAGGAGGCAAAACCAAAAGTTTATGTGGTGCTTGGGGTGGACCGGTCGGCGGATGTCGTGCGTTAATTAAAGCCTGGGTGCGGGGCACTTCATTTCACTGCGAAGCCTGTGAAGACTGGACGCGAGGACGGGGCTTTGTAGAATGCTCGCTGGTGGTAGCTGTTGTTCCTCTCTTGTTTTTTCGAGACGCCTTTTTGTCAACATAACTGTAACGATGCAAAACCAAGAATATTTTCAGATATTTACAGCAATCCATCTCAACAGCCAGACGAAGAGGGGGCAGCCAAAGTCGGGGGGGAGGAAGACCTTTTTTTGCTGTAATTTGGCTAGACCTTCCAGTGGTTTGTGGCTTCGTTCTTTTGACTTGTTTGTGGATGGAATGTTTACAGACATTTCTAATTTCTACTTTAATTAAATAAATTGGATCAAAGGCTGTTCGAGGTCTTTTTGTTTTGCCGTTTGTCGCTCAGAATTGGCATTTTGAGAGGTGATTGACATTAATTGCTAACAATTTTCTAGTACTCTAGTTTGTTTCAAGAAGATTTTGGGTAGACGTAATCTGCACCCTTTTAAATTATATAACAATACGAACATTATTTTTTATATTGATCATAATTTCCAGATATGGGGAGGGGGTGATCGTGGCAGGAAAAGTTGTATGTTTAGTAGTTGCATATGGTGATTTTTGATTTTTCCATGCTGGTAGGTAAGTAAGGAGGTCTCTGTACCATGGCTCGTACAAAGCAGACTGCCCGCAAATCGACCGGTGGTAAAGCACCCAGGAAGCAACTGGCTACAAAAGCCGCTCGCAAGAGTGCGCCCTCTACTGGAGGGGTGAAGAAACCTCATCGTTACAGGTATTAAAAAACAGGGAAAAAATGGGACAAAGTCTCTCTGGTATGTATCCATATAATTTAACAAAAAGATGGATAACAGGAAAAGTTTTTGCTTTAGAGAGACTTTTTTTTTTTTTTTGAACACTTTACTACTTAAATATATGTACTGTATGATCATTTCTATATAACGTTTAGTATTGGGTTTTATTGAAAACGTTTAACTTTGAAGCCATAATCTGACCTACAGGTCTAAGGAGACCTAGTATATCACTGATAATGTTAATGGGATATGTTGACATTTTAGTTAACTATTAGTAATTCTTTAAAAATAGTTACGTGTTGCTTTCTTGAATACACTTTTGAGGATATCTTTCCTAGCTTTTGGCAAAATAATAATTTAATCGAAATTGGGTGTTTTATAAAGTTCCTACCCCCTTGTTTACTTGATAAGCTTGTTTCCTTCAGTATTGGCTTTTTTGATTGTGAACTAGCTGAGCCACTGTGTTGTTAAGGGCATCTGCCATTAGAGGGCAGAAGTTGCCCAGACTTAGCCTCCGCAGACACTACGATTAACTTAAAATAAAAACTCATACAGTGGAAGAAATAAGTCAGAATGAGAGGTAAATTTCTTGCTGACAATTAGTTAAAAAAAAATACTTTTCCACGTGGAAGGAACACTGCACAATCGGGTGTATTCAAATTTAATAATTCATGAGGGATGAATTGTAGTCAAAGGTATTCTGGGGAATAGAACTTAAACGCCACAAGTATATTTTTAAATGAAGTTCATTGGGTTGTGTTGGTCATCTTTAAGGGCTCTTAAGATAATAGAGGGTGTAGGGAAGGAGAGAAGTGCTAAATTGAGAGGAGCCAACTTCTTTTTTAGCCTGACAGCTAGTACCTTCCCAAGGTTTATATACATGAATAACTTTTTAAAATGAAAATAAATAGGACTTTGATAAACTTCTTGCTAAGAATGCATTTTAATTTCATGCTTTTTGCTTTAAAGGTATTGTTACTCGATTTGAATGTTCACATCTTAAGTTGATCAGTGAAATTTTATATTGAAGCTGAAGAATTGTTGGGTGGTTTATTTTTTGAAAAATTACTGCATTTCATTAAAGCTGCCCACTTACCTTTTTGTACTATTTATGTTTTTGGTAACAGTTTCTTTATTGTTAATTTTTTAAAGGCCTGGTACTGTGGCACTCCGTGAAATTAGACGTTATCAGAAGTCCACTGAACTTCTGATTCGCAAACTTCCCTTCCAGCGTCTGGTGCGAGAAATTGCTCAGGACTTTAAAACAGATCTGCGCTTCCAGAGCGCAGCTATTGGTGCTTTGCAGGTAAAATGGTGGGTGGGGACAACTCAAGAGAGTTTGTATTCCTGTTGTGTACCAAGAACAGTTCCAAATTGTTGCATATGCTTATATCATTTAATCACAAGCCCGTCAGGTAGTTGATATCATTACTTCACTGTTGAGACTTCAGAAAGGTTGAATTGCTCAAGGTCATACACATAGAAAACGACAAAACCATAATTTGAACCCATTTGACTCCACGGCTTAGTGCACATTCCATTATACCATTTAAAATTTTGAAACATTGCACTAAAAACAATAAAGAAAATCCTCTGGTTTGGTTTATGGATGCTGCAGGATATTAAGAAGAAGTTGAGATTAGAGGTCTATATTTGTAGTAACAATTTCAAACAACAGTGCCTAGAATAAAAGAAATCTGTCTTCAGGTTGTGAAGAAACATATAGGTAGAGAGAGCTAGGATGGGAATAGGCAGTATTAAAGAATTATGCATTAAGATGTAAAAGGATCAGTGAATGGAGGATAGGATTGGATTGGCAAGTTGAGGGGAATAGTGCTTAAAGGTGATACTGGACATGTGAAGGGGCCGGGATTTGCCTTGTGGTTTCCTAAAGGGGATTAGGGATTGCCACTTAAATGTGGAGCATATTGAATTTAATCTTCATCTCTAGCATGTCAGGACTTAGAGAAATACTGTTCTAGAGATATTTTTTGTTTAAGACAAGACCAAAACTTGAAATTCCTACAGGATACTTGGTAAACTTACGTAGACGTCATTAACATCAATCGCTTAAGTAACCTATTTTATATTGTGTAGTTGGATTCTTTAGATGCAAGTATTCCAGAATACAGTAAAACTACCACCTCCATCAGAAGTGTGCAGTTGGGGGTTGTTAAAAATGCTGATTGCTAAGCACCATTGCAGACCTGAATCAAACTCCGGGGGGGTGGGGGAGGAGGCATCCAGAATCTTAAGTACACTCCATTGGAGGATTTTCAAGGCTGCTGTTGCTGTGCCGGGCTTTTGCTTTATATGTGAGAAAGATGTGATAGGTGGATTCCACCCTGAAGTGTAATTGGTAGAGCTGTTTCTATGGTTAGTCTAAACTTCAGTTGATTGGTGAATTCCAGGAGTAGGCATCCATTAAATTCTCAGTTGCTGAAATTTCAGCTACTAAAATCTTCCATGCTTTTACTTAAAACTTTATTTTCTGTTTTAATAGCTGATTATCTTCAGTTCTCATTTATTACTAAATACAGAAACGTTACTAAGATTCGTAAGCATTGGTACAAAGCTGCCAGTATTTTCTAGTTAGAAGTGTGCTTAAAGAACACAGTACCGTACTTGAAAAGTGTAGCATTTTTAAGCTTAAATGTCAATAATACAGCCTTTTAAATTGAATTTACTAAACTATCTGGGTAAAAGACTCATCTTTTTAAAATTATTCACATATAAACTTCATTGTTACTATTGCATATTTGTCATTAAGTGTGGTTGTATTGATTTTAAGCAAAATGTTCACCTCTTCTGTTTACAGTTCTCTTAGTGTTAGCTCTTTATTGAAAAGAGTGATCTTTGTTAAGCTTTCTGTTTGCTTCCTTTTTTTTTTTTTTTGAGATGGAGTCTCGCTCTGTTGCCCAGGCTGGAGTGCAGTGGTTCGATCTCTGCTCACTGCAAGCTCCGCCTCCCGGGTTCAAGTCATTCTCCTGCCTCAGCCTCCCGAGTAGCTGGGACTACAGGCGCTTGCGACCATGCCCGGCTAATTTTTTGTATTTTTAGTAGAGACGGGTTTCACCATGTTAGCCAGGATGGTCTCGATCTCCTGACCTCATGATCTACCCGCCTCGGCCTCCCAAAGTGCTGGGATTACAGGCGTGTGAACCACCGCGCCCGGCCTCTGTTTGCTTTTTTATGCATATATTTTAGTTATCTTAAAGATACAGAGGGTGAGCCGGGCACCGTGACTCAGGGCTGTAATCCCAACACTTTGGGAGGCTGAGGTGGGTGGATCACCTGAGGTCAGGAGTTCCAGACCAGCCTGGCCAACATGGTGAAACCCTTCTCTACTAAAAATACAAAAAATTAACTGAGTGTGGTGTTGGGCACCTGTAATCCCAGCTACTAGGGAGGCTGAATCACTTGAACCCGGAAAGCGGAGGTAGCAGTGAGCCGAGATGGCGCCGTTGCACTCCAGCCTGGGCAACAAGAGCGAAACTCTGTCTCAAAAAAAAAAAAAAAGATTGGGAGAATTCGTTAATGGAATAGGGTAACAGATCACAATTGAAGTAGAAATCCAAAGGTGCTTTGGTTTT